GTATCCCAGTTTCTTTTAGAATTGAGAAATTACACAAAGATTGAATGCAAAAATGGTAGAGCACAAAACGAAACAATGTCAATCGAAGAGGCAGAAGAAACTTCATATTTCAATGATACACTTTCCTTTTGCTGAGACGCTGGAACGCTATCCTGCTTATCAGCACCTTCCTTTTGCTGAGACACTGGAATACTATCCTGCTTATCAGCACCTTCCTTTTGCTGAGACACTGGAACGCTCTCCTGCTTATCAGCAGCACAACCAGTCTCAAGAACCGTGGCGCCAATCCTCTTTGGAGGCCAATACCGAAACAGGGATCTTCCTAAAATATTTTTGGCTGGCAGTGGACCCCTAAACATAACACAACTTAAACATTCAACAGGAAGAACCAAAACATAGCAAGTAAACTGAAGATCTTAAAAACAACACATCTCACTATTCTGCACTTGGGTTTAGTATACATTACCATACGTGTGAATCATAGCTGTTATTTCTATTGTCACCCATCACAAAAACTGAGTTCTCTGGCACACGCTGCACAACATAAACACGAAGAAAAACATGAAAAGTCAATTACTCTTTAAAGCTAAAAGGTACGGGAAGATAAAGAAGCCAAAATATTATCACATAATTCTTACAATAGGAGTCATATTGTACGAAGGTGGTTCAAGGATGAACTTTTCATTTCTCTCCACCCCATTAACAATGAGCTTCCCATTGCGAACCTGCAATCATCATTGTTTTGTAGTTGGAGTTAAATAAAAACCATCACTATATTATTAGAAATCATCATTGTTTCGTATTGTTTTTAGGTGCAAGTCAGAGTTAAATTTGAAAATCTAGATTGCCATTTCCAGGGATAATGGTTAACTAGCATAACATTACATGTTCTGAAAGGAGGGCAGAGTCGGCAATCATTCTGAACAAAATTTTGTTGATATTTCCCGTTTCTTACAGGAGAGAAAATAAAGTGTATTGGTGTGATGATGTCTCTTGGTTGACACACAGGGATGTAATTAACCGTAGCAAGAATTATGAAAGCAAAAAAGCACACCACGATAGTATGACATGGGAAGGTGCTCTAATTCAGTAATCTCACCTCTACAATATCACCTTCCTTGGCAACAACTCGTTTAATATAATGAAGACATCATAGTCAGTATACCCTACTTGCTGAAGGACTGGTGGACTTTTAAAGATAACTACATCATTGGCACATGGCTTTCTGAAATAATATGTAACCTGGCAATGTTAAGAGGAAAATAAATTTGGTAAACATTCAATAGTTTTCTCATCAAACAGTCACATCACAAACTATAGAGAAGGCGTATCATTGTCAAAGTTTTAGACAAAAAGTCCAAGCATATAATTCTCATAAGATTTTACCTAGGTCAGTGGTCATACTAATGCAGACAAATATGATCAATCTGGTTTTAAATTAGCTTATGAGAAATTTCAGTGATAGTACTGTTGCCACTCGGTACAAAATTTATATTTCCTTTCCACTATCACCTCAATCATCTACCAGTCATCCTAAATTATAATCTCTGAAAGTTTAACCTTTATTTACCCCCTTCCTTATCATCCTTCTGATGTACCCTTACCCTCAAACAATGCATTTCGAGAAAATCTAAGTTAACACAAGACTAATGGAAAATTGATCATCAAAATTCAGTGACATCCCACATTCCAACTCCCAAAGAAACTCCAAAATCCGAAATGTTATCACCAATTAAGTTCAAACATAAGCCTTATCTTTAAATGTTGCCATTACAATTCCGACTTTTAGCCAACCAACAGGATTCAAAGCTTAGCAAACAGAATTCATACACCATAAGCAATATATCCACCAAAAAACAAATAAAGTTCTGACATTTTCTGCTACAATTCGGTCTCCCACATCCAAAGTAGGATACATGGACAGCGAAGGAATGTACCTCGGCTCAGCTATGAAAGACCGGAAAGCAAGCGATACTGCTATCGCCGCAAAGACTGTCTTCGCGTCGTCGTTAGTGATATTGAGCCATTCCGGTAAAGGCCCCCTCTTCTTCTCCACCTGCTCATCATCCCCTCCGCCATCACCACCGCCTCCTCCTCCACCATCATCACCACCTCCTCCACGGTCCCAAACCGCCTTGGTTTCCTCACCAGAGTCCTTTAAAGCATTGCAAGCAAGTTTTTTGAAGTGGGTTTTATTATTTGCGGTTTTTATAGAAGGGGTGAAGTGGGTTCTTGAAAGTGGGTGGAGATTGAGCACTGTGAAATTAGGGATTTTGATGGGTGTGGAGAAGTGGGTATGGTTAAAGTTCGGGTTTTGGAGGGAAGATAATGGAGGGGAGACACGTAGAGAGAGCATCTCTTTCTCTCCCTCTGTCTCAGGCTAGCTATGCATTCAATCTGCAGATTTTTAGCTTTTGGTATTTCCTTTTTTTGAATTTTTATTTTAGTTTTGAATATTCGTGAGCTTCCACTGGGAGCCGGTGGTCATCCACAAGTCCAGGCCCAAGGGTCAAGACCTCCGCGACCCGAAGGTATTTCCGTCAGTTGTGGTTGATGGTGTGACCACCTGAACCAATTTTCTCGGAATCACCTGCAACACAAAGCGTAGAACTAACACTAAGCTTTAAATCTTAGGAAGATTATTTACACATTACAAACTTCATGAAGTAGGAAGGAAAAGATTCCATTGGCCAAACTCTTTAACTATCTTATAAATTAGATGGGCCTTTTACTTTCAAATTGGGCCCATTTAGTTTGAGTAGCAGCCCGCAGCCCGCAAATATTGTTAAAAACAATATTGATGCAATTCACAAGCAATCTTTCTGGCATGTCTGTTTCCTTTATGCTAGCTTTCCCTTCCCACATCTGTATGGTATGTTTCCGAAGGTCAAAAGTTTGTCATACCAAAATTAAATATATAAGGAAATAACTTGTACAACGTGTTCTTCGTCTAATTACTTTCCTAATTTATTGTCAACGGAGTCTTGTTTCCCTTTTTTTTCATAAAAAAATATAAAAAATCCTATTCTATCAGGGAAAAGGAGTGGAAGTACTTGTATATAAGGGGTGATCATCTCGTTGATTCATATATGATTCATAGCATTTAATCTACATATTCCGGGCAGTCTTCTTCTCGGTCAGAAAATCATGGATTCAGGCATGTTCTCTTCAATGAAACTTTTCTATACATATCCTATTATCTTTGTTTTATTCATTTATTTTGCAAGTTGTTATCATATATAATATCCTCTACTTTTCCATGAATCAAAGTATATAATTTATAAATCGTTCCTGATTTCAAAACATATTTTCCTTCTCATGTTCTCTTACTCACAAATACTTATTTTGTCTTTCAGATTGGGCTGGATTGCCACAACATCTTTTAGATTCAGTTGTAGATAGATTAGTGGCGCAACTGGACTTTGCGCGATTCAGTATTGTGTGTATGTCATGGCACTCTGTAGCAAAACATAATCAAAGTCATCGTGCTAAGCTGTTAGGTCGTGACCAACCTCCAATGCTTATGATTTCTACCGACCAAGAAGGTACATGGAACTTATGCAACCTCATGGATGAAAAAGTTTTGGATTTGCAATTGAACTTTTTAAATAAGCGCTTTTGTGGGTCTTCAAAAGGATGGGTAATTATCGGGGAAGAAAACTTTGCGATAACCCTACTAGACCCATTGTCTAGAACCAAAGGGAAGGAAGAAAAAGAAAATTCAATCATTCGCCTACCTCCATTAATCAGCCCTCCGGATGATGAGGGTGGTGCATTGAAATTCTTTACTAAACATTATGAGTATTATGTCAAGAAGGCTACACTAACAGCAGACCCAATATTAAATGCAAACGAGTGCCTTGTTGTGGTGATATTTGGGTATTTTTCTAATATGGCTTTTCTCCGACTCTCTAAAGATACAACATGGACTTATCTTGATAAGGAGGTGAAGGGAATATGCGAAGTTGTTTGCATTGAAAACAAATTTTATGTTGTTGACCACTGGAGCAGAATTTTTACTTTTGATATTACTACTCAGTCCTATTCAGATATAAAATGTGTTGCAGAAGGTATTAAGCGAACACCGTTCATGTTGAAATATATTGTGGCTTTGAATGATAAAGAACTATTGATGGTTCACAGGCTTTCAAAGCGAGACGAAGATGATATGTATGTCACGAAGCAAGTCAAAATTTTCGAATTGAATTTCGATGAGCGTAAGTGGATTGAGAAGAA